AAACAAATGGATTGACTGATGGGGAAGTGCCGTTGAAGATACCGACGCCCAGGTTGGCGTAACCGGCTGCGTAGGCCTCGGTGGTCTCATCCTGTTGTAGGTCAGCCAGGAATTGTTCTATCACCATATAGATGTAGTCTAGGTCCTCCTGCATAAATCAAGATTAAAGTGAATGCATATAGTAAGTAATAAAGAAACCGACAAGAGAACCACAAGAAGGCGAAGGGTGAGCCACTGAACTCACATAGGAACGAAAGATTTTGGCACGTTGCAAGTGAAGCATTTTGACGATGAAGTAGACGTCGATAACACCTGCTAGCGTGAATTGGTTTATCAGAAAATTGACGGCGCAGAAAATTCCAGCTCGGTTTCCTCCGAAACTGCGGATAAGAAGATGGGAGAAAATTTGAGCAACAAACTACAACTGGAAAACAACATGTAGAAAGAGCAGAGTTCACGATAGAGAATATGTGACAGTGATAAAAGGTGTTAAACTCGCACCGCAAACAGCACTCGGTACTTGGTAACTGCTAGCAGTTGTAGCGGGTCCTAGCCCGACATGACGGAGGCCGATAATCAGTCACGATCGCCCAGTACAATAAGTAGCAAAAGTGCAAAGTTCGAGAAGGCAGAAGGTGCGAGTTGGTTGCCCTCAGAAGACGACAGAAAGGATCAACTGCATGCTTGGAGGATGCACAACCAGCCTAATGGGCATACGTCCTGGGTCGCTAAAAACCCAAACAGAAACCCCAGGAAATAGGAGGCATGTTTGCTAACTTGGCCGGCAGAATATCGAGAGCACCCGCGGATGATGGATGACAGGGAGGCCTTCAGCTTCATGCAAGTTCTCGGGTCTGAAAAATAAGCAGCTGTGGACCGTGCGACGATAATACTTTCAGGGAGTATCTGGGGATCGGTCTGAAATATTAGATACTTGTATAGGGCCAAGGCAGTGTTACATGGCGAATGTCGCCCGTCATTCAACAGGGCTTCACTCGACGTCCGACATATTCTTCGAACCTCCTGCCCCACACAACCATTGCCTGGCGGACCACAGCTTAACCGGGTTTTTGAACAATCGGTGAGTTAGACTTGCAGAGGGCTGGCGGCATCAATAGGAACAGTTTCGGGCCTAACAACAAAAACAGCCTCCATCCAGACTACTGGACGCAATGATTTCCTGTCAAACGGCAACAATATCATCTTCATAATTTGTCACTGAAGAAA